GCCCCCCCCCCCCCCCGCGGGATCCGGGGCCGGAAGGGGGGGGAGTCCGACTCGGTTCCTCCCTGGGGAGGAGGGGGGCGGGGCCCAGAGCTCCAGGGAGAGACACTTTCCTCTCCGACCCCCGCGAACGGGACCGGGGAGCGAAACCCACCGGCCACGCTCAGCCGCCCCCGTCTCCGCGGCTCTGCCGGAGCTCGGAGCAGGGCCCGGCCCCGCCTGTGTTATCGCCCCGGAGCCGCCCTCAGCTCCCTTCCTGGGGCTCGCTCCGTCCTTGGGGGGGCTCGGCCGGCTGGAACCGGGCAGGAGTTCAGCACCCGAGCTGGGCCCCCGTCAGCAAGTCCCCCGGGTCCGTCTGTCCTGAGATCTCCTGGGGAGGGCGGGAAAACTCCCTGCCCCAGGGTCTGCTGCTCCCCCGGGGAACGTTCCCTGTGACTCTCCCCATGCACCCTGACTTGGCCCGGTTTCACCCCCTGCGCAGGGTTCCCCGCCCCCAAACCCGAGCTGATCGCCCGGCTGGAGCGAGGGGAGGAGCCGTGGGTGCCGGATCTCCAGGCCGACGCGGGAGGGGAGACCCCGAGAGGCGCCCGCCCAGGTGAGCAACGAGGGAAACTGAGGCAGAAACATCCGGCCAGGGAAGGAAAAAGCCGGGACTCTCCCAGTGTGCCCTCGGTTCTGCCCTGTCTCACCCAGGCCCGGGCATTGTCCGCAGGGGTTGTAGCTTCACGACAAATCTCAGCTGTAGCTTTCCCCCGTCCTGTGCGCTGCCAGGAATTTCCTCTCTGACTCTGTTTCCCTGTAAGCTTCTGGGTGGGATATGGGGGCAGGATGCAAAGTCCCTTTGCCCTCCCCAGCGTTCCCTGGGAGAAATTCAAAAGCCCCCGAACTTGATAGCAGAGCGCCCACCGCCAGGTTTTGTGTTTCGATTGGTGGTGCACAGCCGCACGGCCTCGGTGCAAATAAAATTATTCCGCACATGGATGGAAAAGATGAGAGGGAATATTGGTCTCCGAGGGTCACCCAGTTTTGTTTTCCCCTTTTCAAGTCCCCGTCTGCCCTTTCCCCCGGCACACTCAGCGACTCCTACCTGGGTTCTGTCTCTCCCAGCAGGCGACGGGGCCGGAGGTGAGATCAAGGAAGAGAATCGGCAGCAGGAAGGCCATGGGGGCATGGAACCGCCGGAGACGTTCTCGGGAAGAGCCGGAGGGAGTTTTCCCCCGGGCGTGGCAGCGGGAAATTCCCAAGGAGAGCGACACGGGGCAGAGAGGGAGAAGACACCGGATGGGTCCGTTCCACGTGGAGGAAGATCGGAGGATGCCGCGGGGCCGGCTCGCCCCAAGGAGGAGAAACCGTACCAGTGCCCCGAGTGTGGGAAAAGCTTCCGTTTCTTTGCCCACCTTCACGCTCACTGGAGAGTCCACACGGGCGAGAAGCCCTATCGGTGTTTGCGGTGCGCGAAAGTTTTCAGCCAGCGCTCCGCCCTCGTGCGGCACGAGAGGACCCACACGGGAGAGAAACCCCACGCGTGCGGGGAGTGCGGGAAATGCTTCACCAGGAAGCTGAGTCTGGTGGCGCACCGGCGCGTGCACACTGGCGAGAAACCCTACGCCTGCTGGCAGTGCGCAAAGCTGTTCAGCGAGCATTCGGCCCTCGTGAGGCACGAGAGAACGCACTCAGGAGAGAAACCCCACACCTGCCCGGAGTGCGGGAAAACGTTCGCTCAGAACGCGTACCTCCTGAAACACAGGAGAATTCACTCCGGCGACAACCCTTACCAATGCCTGCAGTGCGGGAAAAGTTTTGTGGACAGAACAAATCTCACTCGACATCAGCGAGTTCACACAGGCGAGAGACCCCATAAATGCTCGGCGTGCGGGAAAAGTTTCATCCAGATATCCCACCTTATTATACACCGGAGACTTCACACCGGCGAGCGGCCTTATAAATGCCAGGAGTGTGGGAAAAGTTTCATTCACCGCTCCCACCTTATTAAGCATCAGACGGTCCACAGGGGCGGCAGCCCCTATCCATGCCCCGAGTGTGGGAAAAATTTCACGGACCGATCCAATCTTACTCGACACCAGAGGATCCACACTGGGACCCGACTCCATAAATGCGTGGACTGTGGGAAAAGTTTCTTTGAGAAGTCGCAACTTATTCTACACCAGCGGGTGCACACGGGAGAGAGGCCCTTTCAGTGCCAGGCGTGCGGGAAACGCTTCATTCAGGAATCGCAGCTGGTTACGCACCAGCGAAACCACACCGGAGAGAGACCTTATGTCTGCCGGGAGTGCGGGAAAAGTTTTATGGAAAGTTCGTCCCTCGCTCAGCATGGGCGAATCCACACGGGAGAAAGACCCTATAAATGCCGGGAGTGCGGGAAAAGTTTCCTTCGTCACTCCCACGTGGAAAAGCACCAACGCATCCACACGGGCGACAAACCGTACAAATGCCTCCAGTGCGGGAAAAGTTTCATTGACGGGTCAAATTTAACGCGACATCAGAGGATCCACACGGGCGTGCGACCCCATCAATGCCCGGAGTGCGGGAAGAGCTTCATTCAGAAGTCAAAATTTATTCTACACCAGAGAGTGCACACGGGAGAGAGACCTTTTCAATGCCGGGAGTGCGAGAAAAGTTTTATTCAGGAATCACAGCTCGTCGCGCATCGGCGAACCCACACGGGAGAGAGACCGTTTACGTGCCTGGAGTGTGGGAAAAGTTTTATGAAAAGTTCAGTCCTTATTCAGCACAGGAGAATTCACACCGGACTAAAACCCTATACGTGCCCGGAGTGTGGGAAAAGTTTTCTAGAAAACTCATCCCTTACTAAACACAGGAGAATTCACACGGGAGAAAGACCCTATACATGCGCTGAGTGTGGGAAAAGTTTTATGCAAAGTTCGTCCCTTACTAAACACAGGAGAAGCCATGCTGCCGGCAACCCCTATAAATGCCTTGTGTGCGGGAAAGATTTCTTTGACAGAGCAAATCTGACGAGTCATCAGATAATCCACACAGGAGTGAGGCCCTATGAATGCGTGGAGTGTGGGAAAAGCTTCATTCAGAAGTCACAATTTATTATCCACCAGCGGGTGCACACGGGAGAGAGACCCTTTCAGTGCCGGGAGTGTGGGCAAAGTTTTATTCAGGAATCGCAATTTGTGACGCATCAGCGAACTCACACGGGGGAGAGACCCCATACGTGCCTCCAGTGTGGGAAAAGTTTTAGGAAGAGTTCGGCCCTTGCTAAACACGGGCGAATCCACACCGGAGAGCGTCCTTACCAATGCCTGGAGTGCGGGAAAAGTTTTAGGCACAGTTCGTACCTCACTAAACACGGGCGAATCCACACCGGAGAGAAACCTTACCCATGCCTGGAGTGTGGGAAAAGTTTCAGTTTGAAATCAAACCTGAATACACACCAGAAAACCCACACGGGAGAGAAACCCCACGCCTGCCCGGACTGCGGGAAATCTTTCATTCAGCACTCCCAGCTGATTAAGCACCGGCGAATCCACACGGGAGAGACCCCGTTTGAGTGCCCGGCCTGTGGGAAAACTTTCCGCCAGTGTTCGCACCTTACTAAACACAGGAAAATCCACACGGGAGACTGTGGGAAGCGCTTCGAGCTGGGAGCTCACCAAACATTGGACAATCCACAGAGGGGAGGGACCCCAGGAACAGCTGGGCCGCAGGAAAAGGATCGATTCGACTTCACACATCCGTAACCCACACAACAGCGAGAACGTGAGCGTGCTGCTCCAGGAATCTCAGACCCCTGCAACTCCAGACAGGGAAGAAACCTCAGAGCTGTTTTTGAGTGTGGAAAATGCTCCAAGGGGAGCATGGGAAATTTCCCCCACCCCATGGAACCCTGGGAGCCTGTTTCAGGGATCTATCAGATTGGTGGGCCGTTCCAGCCCGCGGGTCACATTTTACCCGCCCCGGGTTGAGGGGGAATTCTTGAACAAACAGACTCACCGGCAGACGGACGCACGTGTCTAAAATAGGTAGCACGATGCTTCAGACTAGGCATAACTCAGGTGTGCTTTATGCAAAGCAGGTGGATTCGTTCACAACCCCGTGATCGCCTGGGGTTCGTGCGTCTTCTGTTTGTGCGCCTCTCATGCTTGTATGTGAAGTTAGAAGTACCAAGTGTACATCTTATTAATCCAGCATTGGTCATGTGACCAGTGGTCTCGCTTATGGGGCTTAATGGCCCGGTGCTCAAGACAATGATTATAAACAGGCTTGCAAAAGTGGCGAGGAGTCCTGTGGCACCTTCTAGACTAACCGAAGTGTTGGAGCATAAGCTTTCGTGGGCAAAGACCCACTTTGTCAGAAACAGGCTTGCGTTTCCTGGAAGCCCAAACTGGGGTTGGTCCTACGAAGACATGTGGCCAGGCCACTGTTGCCAGCAAGAGTCAATGTCAGGTCCGACACTAGGGGTGTGTCTAGACTACAGGTTTTGTTGACGAAAGTGGACTTTTGTCAACAAAACGATACCTGCGTGGACACTGCCGCCGAGTTCTGTTGTCATAACGTCGACAGAACTCAGCAGTTTTGTCAACAACGGTAAACCTCATTCTACGAGGAATAACGCCTTTTGTTGACAGAGTTCTGTCACCAGAAGGCGTTACTGCATTTACAATGTCCTTTGCGTCTACACTTTCACGTCGACAAAGCGACTTGCTTTGTTGACGATACTGGATGTTGTCTAGACGCTCTTTGTCGACAGAAGCTTTGTCGACAGTAGTTTTTTTTTAACAAAAGTGGACTTTTCTCGACAAAACTATACGTGCATGTAGATTAACGCCGAGTTTTGTTGACATAACATCGACAGAACTCGTCAGTTTTGTCGACGGCGGTAAACCTCATTCTATGAGGAATAACGCCTTTTGTCGACAGAGTTCTGTCGGCAGAAGGTGTTCTTGCATCTACACTGTCCTTTGTGTCTACACTGTCATGTCGACCAAGCGGCTTGCTGTGTCGACAGAACTGAATGTCGTCTAGACACTCTTTGTTGACAGAAGCTTTGTCGACAGGATGTGTCGACAAAACTTCTGTCGACAAAAGCCTGTCGTCTAGACGTACCCTGGGTTCTCAAAGTACAAAGATATGCTACACAGGTATCTGTCAAACACAAGGGCTACGTCCAGACTGGCATGATTTTCCGGAAATGATTTTAACGGAAAAGTTTTCCGTTAAAAGCATTTTCAGAAAAGAGCTTCTAGATTGGCATGGACGCTTTTCCGCAAAAGCTCTTTTTGCAGAAAAGTGTCTGTGGCCAATCTAGACGCGCTTTTGTACAAAAAAGCCCCGATCGCCATTTTCGCCATCGGGGCTTTTTTGCGGAAAACGAATCTGAGCTGTCTACACTGGCCCTTTTGTGCAAAAGTTTTGCACAAAAGGGACTTTTGCCCGAACGGGAGCAGCATAGTATTTCCGCAAAAAGCACTGATTTCTTTCAGTAGTTAGTCAGTGCTTTTGCGGAAATTCAAGCGGCCAGTGTAGACAGCTGGCAAGTTTTTCCGGAAAAGCGGCTGATTTTCCGGAAAACCTGGCCAGTCTAGACACAGCCAAGCAGTTTGTTTTCTGACCGCTATCAGCTGTGCCCCTTAACTAAAAGAACATGATAGAAAAGGCGGCATTTCTTACAACCCTTCTGCTAACCGCGGAACCCCGTTTTGGCTATGGATGAAGTGGGAGATTGTCTCAGTTTCCGAGGTACCGGTACCCAAAACCCCTCGTTGAGGTCCAAATTGCTGTGCTCGGATGCAGCTTTAAATACGGTATCCCTCCCTTGTTTGTGTCCGTTTGGGAATTTCCGGGGGTCACTCATTGCTGGTTACAGTATGGCTCAGCTGGACTGCTGGTCCTTTGACTTTGTTTACCTGATCGGTACATTTAGGTCGGGGGCTATGTCTAGACTGCAGGCTTCTTTCGAAAGAGGCTCTTTCGAAAGATCGCGTCTAGACTGCAGGCGGATCTTTCGAAAGAGCAATCCGCTTTTTCGAAAGAGAGCCCCCAGCGAGTCTGGATGCTCTCTTTCGAGGAAGCCCTATTTACATTGAAGAACGCCTTCTTTTGAAAGAGGAACTTTCGAAAGAAGGCGTTGTTTCTCGTGAAACGAGGTTTACCGCCATCGAAAGAAAAGCCGCGTTCTTTCGAAATAATTTCGAAAGAACGCGGCTTGAGTCTGGACGCAGGGGAAGTTTTTTCGGGAAAAGGCTACTTTTCCCGAAAAAACCCCTGAGTGTGGACACAGCCAATGAGATTGTTATGTTCCCAGCCTTATCTACAATTCAGGCTTGCTACAATGGTGTGTGTTCCTAGAGGCTTGCTTCTGGCTCAGTAGTAGGGAATGGGGGAGGATGAAAAAGAGGGGGAGATGCAGGCCTCACTACCCCTATACTTCACACATACAGGCTGTGTCTAGACTGGCAAGTTTTTCCGGAAAATCAGCCGCTTTTCCGGAAAAACTTGCCAGCTGTCTACACTGGACGCTTGAATTTCCGGAAAAGCACTGACGATCTCCTGTAAAATCATCAGTGCTTTTCCGGAAAAACTATGCTGCTCCCGTTCGGGCAAAGGTCTTTTTCCGAAAGTCTTTTGTGCAAAAGGGCCAGTGTAGACAGCACTGTTTCCCGCAAAAAAGCCCCGGTCGCGAAAATGGCGATCGGGGCTTTTCTGCGGAAAACCGCATCTAGATTGGCCACAGACGCTTTTCCAGAAAAAGTGCTTTTCCGGAAAAGCATCCTGCCAATGTAGATGCGCTTTTTCCGGAAATACTTATAACAGAAAACTGTTCCGTTTTAAGCATTTCCGGAAAAGGGTGCCAGTGTAGACGTAGCCACAGAGGTCTTCCACAATTGACTCCTACAGCCACCTAGTGCTGGAATCCATCCTGAACCTGGTATTTTTCCATAGGGACAGGGAGGGGAAACCGGATTTCGGCCCTGGGGAAATTGTAGTTAAAGAACAGGATGCCGTCCACGGCGTCGTTTCCAGGTGGTTTTCAAACTCTACCTCCCCACCTGAAGAGGATACCCAAGGCGCTGCTAGACCCAGGCCGGAGAAAAGATTTGTTTTGACTTGAAAGGACGTACCTGGACCACGAGAGATCAATCGGGAGCCATGTCTCTGCGTGTTCGGCGTATTGGGCACACTCGCGATCGCTTCCGTCCTCCGTTTTATACTCAATAAAAACACTTTGCTTTCTTCTCAGGCCAAAGAATTGTTACAAGGGCTGGGGAGGCAACCATTGTGCATATCTCTCCGTGGTAACGGCAGTGAACATCTTGGTGAGCTTTCTCTGGGTACGACTTTTATACAGAGTAAGAGGGATTTCTTGGCGGTTTTGGTCCTCTTTGGGGCCGGCAAGCCCCTGGAATTGACACCTCTGGTTCAGTGCGTGGCTCTGCTGGGGGGCGGTAACCCCAATTGTGCCCTACCCGGGGGACACTAGAGTTTCTGGCCCAGCACGGCGGGGTGCCCCAGCGGGCAGGTAGGCAGGCTCAGTGGTGTGAGCGCAGCAGGGGGCAGATTCCAGGGGACCTCTGTGATCCGTCCTAGCCCCACTGATTGGGAGTCATGGCAGGGGGTGGGGCCTGCAAGCAAAGGAGAGAGAGAAGTCGGGTGTGCCCCCCCCCAGGAGATATCCCCTGCCCTGTCCTGCTGACCCCAGTCTGCCCAGACCCTGCACCCCCAACCCGTCCCTGCATCCTACCTCCCGCCCACACCCTGCACCCCCAGCCCGTCCCTGCATCCTACCTCCCGCCCACACCCTGCACCCCCAGCCCGTCCCTGCATCCTACCTCCCGCCCACACCCTGCACCCCCAGCCCGTCCCTGCATCCTACCTCCCGCCCACACCCTGCACCCCCAGCCCGTCCCTGCATCCTACCTCCCGCCCACACCCTGCACCCCCAGCCCGTCCCTGCATCCTACCTCCCGCCCACACCCTGCACCCCCAGCCCGTCCCTGCATCCTACCTCCCGCCCACACCCTGCACCCCCAGCCCGTCCCTGCATCCTACCTCCCGCCCACACCCTGCACCCCCAGCCCGTCCCTGCATCCTACCTCCCGCCCACACCCTGCACCCCCAGCCCGTCCCTGCATCCTACCTCCCGCCCACACCCTGCACCCCCAGCCCGTCCCTGCATCCTACCTCCCGCCCACACCCTGCACCCCCAGCCCGTCCCTGCATCCTACCTCCCGCCCACACCCTGCACCCCCAGCCCGTCCCTGCATCCTACCTCCCGCCCACACCCTGCACCCCCAGCCCGTCCCTGCATCCTACCTCCCGCCCACACCCTGCACCCCCAGCCCGTCCCTGCATCCTACCTCCCGCCCACACCCTGCACCCCCAGCCCGTCCCTGCATCCTACCTCCCGCCCACACCCTGCACCCCCAGCCCGTCCCTGCATCCTACCTCCCGCCCACACCCTGCACCCCCAGCCCGTCCCTGCATCCTACCTCCCGCCCACACCCTGCACCCCCAGCCCGTCCCTGCATCCTACCTCCCGCCCACACCCTGCACCCCCAGCTCTTCTCTGATCTATACTTCCCCACACTATGCTCTCCTTATTGCCTTGGTGTCTGGCTGCTCAAAATCTTTGGCTAGATACTCTGCCTCAGTCCTCCACCCTGCCCGATAATATTTGTGAGAGCAAGGGGGAAAATTATGGTGTACACAACAGGGAATGTTGCATTTTCTAAGGTCTAACCCAATGAGTAGACTCCTAAACTTTCCCTTTAAACCTCCAAAAGCACATTCAACCTCCATTTTGCATTCCATTTTGCACCTACAGCTGAACTGCTTCTTCCTGCGATCCAGGATACCCATATAGTGCTTCATGAACCATGGGAGCAAGTGGTAGGCTGGGTCGCCAAGGATCACTATTGGCATTTCTACCTCTCCAGATCTATTTTTTGTCTGGGAAAAAAGTTCCAGCTTTCTGAAGAGGCAGGAGTTCCTAAAGATGCACGTGTCATGCATCTTTCCCACACTGATGTTGGTGAAACAGCCTTTGTGATCCACCAGTACCTGTGGCATCATTAAGAAGTACCCCTTGCAGTTTATGTACTCCTTGGCAAGGTGGACAGGTGCCAAGTTGGTAGAATGCATTCTACCATTCCACTGCAGTTAAGGAACCTCATCGCGGCGAAGCCTTCCACTTTGGCATCCGCATTTTCCAGACTCACTACCCTCCGCAGCAGAATGGTATTGATTGCCTTGATTACTTGTATAATAACAGCCCCCACTGTAGATCTCCCCACTCTGAATTGATTCCTAACTGACCAATAGCTGTCTGGAGCTGCAAGCTTCCACATGGCAATTGCCATGCATTTCTTCATTGTCAGAGCAGGTATTCCTGTGCTTCAGGGCGGGGGAAAGCAAAGTGATCTTGTGCATTCAGAAGTTTTGGAGCCACTGCTGATCATCACAACCTGCAGCTCTATGTGGTCCCATCAATCAGTACTTGCCTGATGGCATCAGAACTAGTGTTACACTGATTGTAGAAGATCAAATGATGGCAGCATTTCCAAATTTCTCAGCTTAAGGGGCTTGCATGAACAGTGTGTCCATGGCCTTCCGCGATTTGTCCTCTTGCTGGAGTGCCATGCATGTGCTCTTGACAAACTCTACCATTAGATCCACCAAAGTAAACATCATTGTCACTGTGCTTTGATGAACAATGTGATCTACGAGTGGGTCATCCTTGCAGTGTTATGGAATCTGCATGGGTAACTAGGGCCAAAAAGGGCACACAAGACTGTTTCCTGTTGATCTCAAGCAAGGGGGGAGAGAGTAGATAAGTGCATTATGGGACACTGACAACATGAACCCTGAACCACCTG